AAAGGGCATTCTTAGAATCAGGGCGGTTAGTCTCTAGGACGCCTGCGACTTTATCAATCTTGCAATGTAGCTTCCCAGCTGCAATAAAACGGGATAGCTCCCTGAAGCAAAACATTGTAATGCGTTAGATAAACATTCCATTCGCCTAACAAAGAGAATCCAAACATTTTCATCAATAAAGAATCAAACAAAAACTGAGTTTGAAATAATTATCACTTACAGATCAATGAAATCCACGGTCACCCCAAATGCTTTTGCCATTGCCTCATTTGTAACGCTCTTGTAAGATTCCAAGAACTGTGAATAAACAACGGTTCTGACCTCCCTCATGTAAAATCGGAAGTGGGGATGCAAATAGCGGTCCAACTTGATTTGCTCCGTCAAGCCAGCTAAAATAAATTTCGAAATGAAACAAAATTGTAAGTGTATATTCACATAGATGCATAAATAAACTATCCATCACTTCGCAGATGTTTTCCACAAATTCTCAATGCCAAACACTAAAATCACTTATAGGCTATAGGACAAAGCATCTTCGAGAAATAAACTAATATTCCAAGCAGCCATAAGCAGACTATCAACATATAGAAGACGCCAGCCTACCAAACGCTGAGAAGAATGACTTGTATTGACAGTCGTATAAGGAGTTCAAAAACTCTGAAAGATATGGGATTTTGCCGATCACTGTCAAGATCTCAGGAGCATCCACCACCTGTTGCAAGCTAACGTGAACATCAAATATGCAGGGTTCTTGGAAAACATAGACAATACTAGAAAGGTAAAAGGTGACAAAAAGTAAAAATCAAACAAAATGTAAAATACCTTTTGCTTCATGGAAACTCTATCCAATGATATAACGCTTGTCAAAACAGTGTAAAATATAAAAGTGTCATAGGGAAAAAGTTCATAGGTTGTAAATGTTGAAATAGAATCTAAAAACAGATTGGCAGCCTTCTTGAAATTTCGAGTGGACATGCAATACAAGCCTTCATACACTTTCAACCGGTTCTTTCTTTCCCAATCACCACCTTCTTCAAACAAGCTGCCATCATGGAGAAAAACATTAGAATCTGAATCTAATCCGAAAAATATGGGAGAGAACAATAAAATATTTTTATTCGTTACCTTTTAGCTTTATCAATGCTCTTGGAGATGAGATCAAAATCCATGTCGAAGAAACCAAGCTGCAATGTATGAAACACCAGATCCATCTTCTGGCCAACAGCAACCGTCTTGCTTTCTGTTAACTTGAGGTGTTCCAAGGCTTTTTCCTGGGAAATGAGGGATAATGTTACTGGCATTTACATTCCAGTGGAAGATTACAGGAAACAGGTGATTACATTATAGTTGGTATATACCTTGTCACCAATCCGAATGAAAAACAAGGACTTTGCCAAGTGAGCCTCTCGAACTTCACTCTCACCTAAGTTTTCCTCTGCATCAGCAATCCTAACAAGGCAGCCCCCTCAGATATAAGTAAATATATGCCATTTTCTCCCCAAAAAAAAAAAACGCAATTTAAATGGCAAGAAATCACATATTTAAGAATGCAATTATTATAACCCATTTGGCCCAATAACTCCCTTGTTCTACCAAAAGAGGTTTGGACTAAACAAACATCTAGCCCAACCCAACCAAATCAAAGGTTCACACAAGGTACCAAGGGTTGCACAAAAACAAGTATTAATAACTAAAGCACAAAAAGGGAGAGGGATAACTAAAAAGAAAAAAAGAAAGAATAGGACTTTAACTTAATTCATTCAATCTTGGTGCTCTCAGGAATAAATATGCCAGAATTAGAATCTCAACAAACCAGTACACTTCAGAAGTATGAAACACTGAGACAAGAAAGATAGACGAACAATGGGGAAAGCAATGAGAAAAATCATGACCACACTTGGGATCTGAATGCGGACTTTAAGGAAACATTTGGGCAACAGGATTTTGGATGACTGCTTAGGTAAATATCTAGGAGGAATGTGGCTACATAGGGGATGTCGAAAAGGAGTTTGTTAGAAAATTAGAAACAAAAAGGGGGTCCGAGAGAGAGTGAAAATATGCAAAAAATTGAGGGGTATTGTGGTGGAGAACTCCAGTTGTATTTAAGTGCTGGAACACCTTTGTTTTTCTTTTGCTTTTACTATTGTGTCAACTGTAATTTCAGATGAAAATATGAAATACACGGTTTCCATCAATTGGAATCTTATAAACTATGCAGAAAAAATGAGGAAATTGTTGGTGAAGACCTCTAGCAATCTCTAAGCGGCAGAACATTCTCATTTTTCTTCAACTTTTCCTGCCTCCTGCTGCAATTTCAGATGAGATCCCAGGTTTTTCATCACAGACACAACTATGCTTATCTTCTTATACATTTCAGGTCACTTCTAAGGAACACATTCAATTCTTAATTTAACAGCTTGCACCATTAAGTTCCATGCTCATGACACCTTAGGACCATCTGCCACAGAATATCAATCTAGAGGAGGGAAATCAAGAGAAAGATCCCACAAATTCACATGCTTCCGAGGACCATGCTTATGATTTAATGCAAGCCGATTTCAAATAACAACTCTATATAGTCCTCTAAATTTTATATGCGTTGAAAAGAGAGCCACAGCACCGCATACTATAAAACCGCTAAAACCCGTAGAAGTCAATCTCCACTCAATCTAAGATGACAAACGGGACCTAAAAACGTTCTGGGTTTTGAATCTCAAACTCTATGCTGCGTCGAATCAAATAACATAAAATGCCTAATTGGAATTTTCATCTTTGCCTCCTCAAATTGCCGGGAAAAGTTACCCAAGTCGAAAGTTAAGTATACTGAGGAATAAAAATGAACTTACTTCTCGTCAAGCTTCTTGAGTTCCTCGTCTATTTTAGCACGCATCGAGTCCAAAACGCTCTGATCTAGGGGCAATACTGAATCAGCGACTAGGGTTTCGTATAAAGGAACCATATCTGCACCACAACGAGAATAGCCATGTAAGGCAGGTTGAAGGTAATTGAAAGTCCAACAGAAAATGAATGTGATAATATTCAAGCAGTTACCATTATCCTTGACATGAGTAAAAACCTCCTCTTTGAGCCGGACCTTTTCAATGTCTTGGACATCGGGGTGTTTGAGATGAAAAAACTTGTTAGCGAGCACGATTTGTGGTTCCTGAACCCCTTCTTGTCCTTCCATGGCGGCCTAACGCTTTGCCCACTGAGCAGCGATTCTCAATTACTCTTGCTTGAGGAAGGAGGAACTGCGCTACAGGGTTAAGCTAAACAGGCTTCATGGCTTTCTCTTTCCATTTAAAATTCCATTTTTCCTTAGGTGAAAGTTTCCACTTTGTTTTTTTTTTTTTTTTAAAGACCAGTGCGGGAAAAATCCATTCTTCAATTATAATCCTCGTTATTGTGTTCATGAAGCATTATTTATCAATCACTCCTCCATCATTAAATATCGATTTTTAACTAATTTTTCAAATTAAAAAACATAATTATTTATAATTAATATATAAATAATTTATGACACTTTTTTAAAAACTTAATGCACATAAATAAAACTAATCAAATCACGTTTTGTATGTATTTTTTTTTAAAAGGGAGTATTTCTGTAGTTTAGGTGAAATAGAGGGATATTTAGTATATTTATTCAAAATTTTAAATTTTAAATATAGGGTATCAATGGTTTTCTTTCTCTTTCGGCCAGAGAGTATCAATCGTCAAAAAGCATCTGTACCTTTTGGAAAAAATTAATAAATTAAAGTATTTTCTTCTCATCTATTAAAAAAAATACACGAATAAATGCCACCATAGCTGAATCTGAATGCCTCTAACCATTTTGAGTCGAGCTGGGTTAGGCTGAACTAAAAGAAATTGTCAAGAGAAAAACTTGGGCTGGGTTCGGCATCAAGCGGACATGCAGCCCTGCTCGGCATACATGTTACTCCGCTATTTTTTGACCTGAGTAATCCGACATACCATCTTGGTTTTCCCTGTTTTTTTAAAAAACATTTAAAAAAAATACATTACATGATGAATTGATATTAGAATTATAACTATCGTGAAAACATGGTAGAAGGGCATTTTTCTTACTGGCCATGGAAAGTGAATATTATAGGAAGTGACAGGCTTGCCATCAGCTCGCAGCGCAACAATCATTTGAGAAACTATTTATAATCCTTGATCTGAGTTTCCCCGCACTCCTTTCTGGCGCAAGACGATTTCGATTATATCTTAGAAAACAGAATCACATCCTATTCCCATTTCCAATATATTGGCTGCTACCTGTTTACTTATAGCACATGATTTTGCTTCATGGTAAAACTTTTCCCTTCCTGTCCGATTTCTTTTAAAAACTCACAAACTAATTAAATGTACGATTTTTTTTTTTGGAGGGGGGGTGGCGGGACAATTTTCTCCTTTAAAAAGTTAAAATGACTTTTATTTGGCACTTAAAATTTCCAGCTTTGCTCCTTTTTTCATAACGTTTTGTGCAACAAGTTAACCACCATATTGATCTATGAAAGATAACTCTAGATCAAGGATCAGCATGATAGATTGATAGTCTCTACGGCTAACTAGTCCCTCATTCATTTTATGGAACCTTGCTGTAACTAGTTATGAACACCATGGAATAACAAAGTAGTTGAATGAGTCATATCATCCAAAGCAATACCACAGCTCATTGATATCACATCTCCAGTAGATAATCTGTACATTGGAATTTTTCTTTCCATGGCATATACCGATTACAATTGAAAGACCAGCACAAACAAGATAATTCACTTAAGAACTTAAGATGAAGTTTGAAAAAAATGCCGACTTTTGTGAAGTCATCTACAAGGAGTATCCAGTTCAAGTTCATTTGATCTATATGTTTTTCTGTGCTTCAACAATATGGAAGATCGACCTCTGGAAGTTCCCAGTTATCATCTTTTTCATCATCATACTTGTTCTTCTTAGGGGCTTCGTCTTTCTTTTGTACTAGAGCTCTGGATTGTGGCCTCCTGACATTCAAAGTGGCATATCAGCAGACAATAGGATATGTACAAGGAAGAGAAGTTTTACATGACACAATAAAGAAAAATGATACGGGATTTTGGGGACGCAAACTAAAAATCAAATATTCACCCTTTTGACGTCAATCATAAGCAAGGAAATCAATGCTCAGCCCATCACAACTGGGGTGAAGAAAAGAAGCAAAAATCCAAGATTCAATCTTTAATCATCAGTGGAACATCAGTGCATCTAAACATAATATGAAAGATTAACTAGAGCTATGGTGAGAAGCAAATCCAAAATGCTCAGTAATCCATATGTTTTCCATGCAAAAAACCTTTATGGTTCTGTTTCCCTTCATTGGCATGCCATGACACAACTCATAAAATAAGAACTTCCAGGCCAAACCTCACAAGTTTACTTCATTTTTCCCTTCCTCAATTACAAAATTCAACATTTATTATGAAACTTCATTTCATAGCTGACAGTTCAGAGACTGACACAGGTCGTTTCAACAAAAGTTCCAAAGAAAAATACTTCACTATCAAGCCATTGAGGCCAAACTTCTGAACCCAGTCATTGTCATCTGTCACTACAAAAGGTGGAAAATTAAGTAGAAGAAGAAACAATAAGTTCAGCTCTAGTAACCATGGAATAGCATTGAATAACAAATTCTACAATTCTGTTAATCTGTTTTCTATACATTACTCAGAGATTGTGTCGTGCCACACGGCATTGTTCTCTAGCAATCTTTTTTTATTCCCTTGCAAAATTGTTCTGCAGAAATCTTAGCATTCGTAGTACGTCACAGCTGCTCTCAAGAGCCAAGCAATGGAAGGAAGATGAGGGTATAGAAATCGATAAAGTGAAATTCCTCGATACCACCATAGGTATACGATGTTAATCAGCGCTTCATTTTGTGAAAATATCACCCGCCAGTTCAACTTGAAATAGGCATTGCGCATATTCGAGCTTTGTCAAGAAGAACAAGCAAGTAAAATTTCAATATTTCAACGTCATGAAGCAAAGGATCAGTAATTTTAAGAATAAGACTCACAAATATAAGTTAAGGAATATTTCTGTAATTGCCTAAACGCACAAAAACCATAACTGATCAGGGTGGCAAAACTTGAGTTTAATCTATTTCAAAATGTAACGAGTTCGAAACTGATAAGCTCTTATACAATAATGTACAGAGAATCATGGACAGATTGCAAATTGAAGTTTCCAAAATCGACAACCACAACACATGAAATGAAACAAAGATAATGAATAAATAACAGAGAAAAGAGCAATATAAACACCTCCTTCGGTTCCTTTTTGCAGCTTCTCTAGATTTCCTCTTCTTCTTGTCCTGTTGGCTTTCGAAAAATCTCCTTCTTTTACACTCTTGAAGCACACCGGCCTTCAGGACCTCTTTCCTGAACCGGTTCAGCAGCCTATCTTCGGGCTCATTCTCGCCCACTATGACCTGAACGTTATATGCTGATTTGAAGAAGAGAATATTTGAATACGCGAGTGCAGGGTACAAGATGGGTGAGCAATCACTTGCATGAAGAGACGAAAAAGACGAAGAAGATTCAGTGAAGTCGCTGGCTGAGACCAGCGACGACCACTCTGATGAGGATGGTTGAAGACGGAGCTGTGAGGGGAGACAATGGAGGCAGGCTGGTCGTGGGCACGATGACTTTGAAGGAAGCAAGGAGGAGAAGAAGCTCGAAAGGAAAGAGACGGCCATGACCCGATCATCTGAGTTTGAAGCCTCCAGGCTTGGGGTTCGTCTTATTGTCTATGAGAGTTTGGTCAAAGCTGTCAAATATGCTTTACATGGACAGGGATGGGCCTTTGGTCCCACGTTACCATGTTTCGCCAGAATATGGGTCGGCGTATCAGGTGGACTTTGTTGGGCTTTGAGGGGAACAGGAAACAGTTATTGGGTAAAATCATTAGACCGATTTTTTTTTTTCCAAAAAGAAGTTAAAAATTCTTGATCTTAAAAGATTATTTTTTTAATTTAACATTAAAAATTCAAAATTTTAAATTTATATCTATATTTTTCAAATATTTTATTCCAATCAATATTATGAGTATTTTTTTTATGAATTGAAATGCTTCGTAGGTCATGAGATTCTATTTTTCATTTGAGAAATCAATTCGATTGAACTTTTTTAAAATTAAAAAAATTACATTTTGAAAAATTATATTTAAAAGATATGATATTTCAAAAACTGAGTAACTTTATTCATATACGCAGTCCGGGACTACATGATACTAAAAAAGCATGAAATGAAAGGAAAGAACTCTTTATGACTCTTTTAGGAAGATAATGACGGAGAAGGATTTCTATTTTTTCAAAAACAGTGATTAAAGATAGGGGCATTTTATGAAAATTACAGAGTGCTCAGCCAACAAAATAACTACTTTTAACATAACATTAAAAAACATAACTGCTTTTTAGAAAATTGAAGGCACAATTACACATTAGCTTGAAACCTCATTTTTCAATGTATTTGCAACAATTTTTTGTTGTAACAATTAGAATGTGAGGGCTTTTGTTTCTGCTCACGCAAGTTATTATTTTATGAGTGTTTGGGTAGAAATAAAATCATAATTTTAAAATTAATTTGACAATATAAAAAATAAACATATAAGAAAAATTTTATCTCAACTTACATAAAAATACTTTTAAACTGTGAGTGATCCAAGCACCCCTTTCAACTACTATCTATTTTGCATTTCACAGGTAATTAAAGAGTTGTTCCGTAAAATAATGATTTATTAGTAATATAATTCTTGAGACATTTTATATTACTCCTCCGATCCTTATTATAAGACCCAATTTGACTTTTTATTTGGTCCTAATTATAAGACCCAATCCATTTTGTCTCTTATATTTATGTATTTTTTTCAAGATAATCCTTCTAATAATGATAGTTTTAGCCAATATACTTAATTAGCAAGGATATTTTAGGAATGACAACACTTATTTATTATAAATAACCAACTTAACTTACTTCCTTAATCTCCTCAAATAAGTCAATTGGGTCTTATAATTAGGACCGGAGGAGTATATATATAGGTGATTCTATTTTAAATCAGACTTTTTATTAAGAAATTGTAATTGAACCTCCATAACTTGAAAAATATATAATTTACCGTACACCACAACATCAGAAAAAACTGAAAAAGGCATAAAAACGAATACAATTGGACTTGGAAGCCATTTGAAACCTGTCCGAGCATCGGTGTCAAACTATAACAATAGCCAACTTTACAATCCTATTTATGAACACAGATTACAGGAACGGCCATCAAAAAGGAGTGAAGAGAAGATTGAAATGCAGCATAATAGGATCAGAAATTCCCGTTTAAGTAGGGAATTTTAACCGCCATCTTGGAACCATTGGAAGGCAGAGCAGGACTTGGCTTGAATGAACTTTTTGCTGACTCTAAAGCTCTTGAAGTTTGAAGAGCCATCTCCCCGTGGAGTTGAATGCATTTCATAGCCATCTATGGTCAACCACAAAATTAAAACGAAAAGAAAGTAGCTTCAGAAGTAAATTCAAGATCAGAAAGAATGGAGGAAAAGAGTTCTGGAGGGCTGCGTGGAACTAGAAGGTAAGAGAAGGAAGACGAGAGATTCTAGACATTTTCTGGAGCTTCTAATTTCCTCACCATATAGCACTCGCTATCTGCGTCTGACTCAGCTACCTCGAGCGCCCATGTGCGAATCCAATCGAGGCCTGCAGATATATCAGTATTTCCTTCCAACAAGGCAGTTGCAATGTAAGTTGGGTGAAGAGCGATCACAATGCATGCAGCTGCAAAAAGAACAGCTCTTCTCACATATGCTTCTTTATGATGGCATACCTCCCTGCATATATAAATGTAGTTTTGCCTGCATTAGCATACTGGCAAAAGATGGTGAACCAAACAAGATGCGCATCTTAATTCTACTTGAATGAACGAATAAGGCATATTTATATTGGTGAGATAATAAGCTTTAGACTGTGAAATTCAGTATTATTAAATCCATTAGGCCCTCTCACAACTAGGGGTCCAATAAAAAGTTACTGAGTCAATACCTGGATCTTAACATATCCAGAAGAGAGGTAGCAAGGGCAGATGCTTCTGGGTGCATTGCTAAAGATTTCATGCAAACCCCAAGCATATGAATAAGTTTCCCAAGGACAATGAAGTCCCTGCCAAGCAAATCAACACCATGCCTTTTCTTATCATATCCCTCCATGGCAGGAAGCATGAATGCAGCAGCATAAAGAGGAAACTTGTTCCGGGAACATTCCACATTCTGTTGAGTAGAAGGTAATCCCAAACTCCACCGGCGTGTCTTCCCTCTCTTGATTTGATTAGGTTTAGAGGGAAGTTCCCTCTCGTAGCTATTTGACCAATTCAATATAGTTTCTGTTCTTGAGATCTCTTTCCAGGAACCAGCTCCAGGAGGCCCTGCGCTGCTTGGCAAGAACCATGGTTGGGTATCTGAAACAACTGAGACGAGGGATCCAGTCTTGTGTTTGGGTTTCAAAATTTTCATTTCAGCAAGCTCCTGAGCTGCTTCTGTCATGACATCTAATATCATTATGCGTTGGCTGATGTCTAAATTAGGAGAATATAATAGCTTGTTTAGAGTATCCAGCGCTTCAAATGAGCAGGTGACTAACAAGGCAACTAGGGCCTTTTGTCGTTTGTCTTCAGTAGATTCTTCTGCTCCTTCTACAGATATATCAGAGCAACGAACATAAACAAGAGTTCTGGTCAGATCACCTGCTATGTGTTTAAGTTCATCAGGGGACGCTCTTATGAGTTTTTCCGCAACATCTATAGCCCTTTCCACCTGCAACAAAAATATATGACTTAATCAACATCTAGGAGTCTTTCCACCCAAGTTTAACCCAAAAAAGAGGATACAGGGAACTTGTACCAATCAGGTCCGGCAGAACTTCAGAGGACAATAAATTGACTTTGGGGGCTAAGTCAGCTAGGTTATTTTTATCAAAAGAGTGGGTTATGCTCCATGTCCTTAATCATATGTTTGTGTATCATTCCAAACTGACGATATGCCAGGTGCTAATCACGGCTGGTTTAATAGAGGCTCACAAATTCAAAAAAAAAAAAAAACACTCAAATGAAGTTTACAATTGCAGCAATTATTAAATTATTGAATTAACACCGTGTCATATTAAGCTTAACAGTCAATTGGCATCACCTCGACTGTCAGAAATCTCAAATTCCATCATTATGTAAAGAAGCGGCAAATAATCAAGAAGCAACTATGTAAAGTAGTGGGAACTAATGACTAACCCCATCAGCATCATCAGTTTTTCGAAGAGCTGCAACTACATCAGCCAACTGTGATATTCTTTTTTTCAAATCTGAATCATCATCTGACAAGTCATATGGCTGTAAAGATGAATCACTTGAGGAATATGAATCCTCACTTCCACTATCATCCACATCATTACCATCATTACCAGAGTCTGATTCAAGATTTAGTGAAGCTGGATCAATAATCTCGTCTGGGTCAAGCACATTAAACTCCAATAACTTCTTTTTATCCCTTTTATTCATGCTTATCCCGCTATTAGAGGGGGAATCAGAGCCCCTTTCTGGATCTGACATTGTTATTCTTGTTTCTCCCACACCTTTTACTTTGCAATCTGATGCAGCTAGAGTGCCTTTCTTGGGAACATTTAATCCAAATTCCCAATCAATTGTCTCACCACTGCAGCTTTCATCAAGGTATAGAGGATTTTTTGGATCAATAACTTTAGACAACACTAAAGCAACCGTGCTAGCCATTCTTCTAACTAAATTATTTGGACTCTCCAGCCTACCTGGAACATTACACAAATATTAGAAGATGGATGGAAACTGATATTTCTTAAAATAGAGAAGGCAACAATTTGGCCTTTCCAGCACAAAAATTCAGGAACCTGTCACATTGTTCTACTATTTCTGTTTTTTTTTTTCCCCGATATATATACACACAAATAAAAAAAAAAATCAGAAATTCAGAGTTCAGATTATTGATTCAGAAGTGGAGCCATTTCCCTCTCTGGGAACCCCCGCAGTACTAATAGACGCTTCTGGCTCTAACACAATTTTCCTCAAGCTATGGCTAGGTCTTCAAGTAGCATTCTTGAGGATTATGATAGGCAGTACTCCACAAATATCACATACGTAGTTTCCATCACTATTATCAACACACCCAACAGTTACAAGTAAATGTAATTACAGCTAACTCCTTGAAGAATCAAATGCATGACATCCTTCGTCCCATCTAATTCCTCTTTAGTCATTGTCTCAAGGGAAAGGCCTAAAGCGGCAGATATATCTGAGGCATAGATCAAGGGAAACACACATTATAAGAAAAAGCAGATATGCGCATTACAATGTATACGGCATCAGTCCCTGGGAATGCTCAGAAGGAAGTAGGTGAGAATGTAATATACGAGGAAAGGATTTAGATCATAATAGAACAATGTTTGTCGACTCCCACAGTTTAAAGATTGCTGCATGCAGAAAAAGGATACAAGCTTGCTGCTCAATAGATGCTGTTTGCACAAATTCTTTCTTAGACCATACAGCCACCAGACGCTGGAGTACATGTAAGAGCCCAGGGCGACTATGCCCAGATACAATGGTACCTGGCGGGCATTCATGAACTGAAAATTGAAGAATCCACTTCAGACAACTTAAGGGAAATACTTTCCAGAGCAAGAATTTGTCCACGAACAAAGACCTAGACAGTGGTCATGGAAACAGGAAAAATGTCATCAACAAATAAAGGAGCCATCATAAACAGAAGCAAAATCTTTGCATATTTTTCACTTAAATCTACTTCAGACAGCAAGAAAAACCAGTCAATAACTAACAAATCATAATGAATCTTAGAGGAATGGAAGAATGCCGCCATACCATTTCATGAATTACATTAAATCCAATATTTTCAAGGTGTACAAAATTTTATGAGGCAGGTAGATTGTTCAAGTTCCAAAGTAAAGTGCACTACAATTAGTAGATTCCTGCCAATAAGGATCACAGCAAGATTCCCAAGACATTTTCTTGAACTTGCCAGCCAAGCCAACTCAAGTTCGCAAACGCAAAATATTGAGGCATGACCAAAGAGGTTGCTACTAGACAGGAGGATTTCAATGAAGGTCAATATTTCTTTGATGAGTTCCCATTAATACTTCCCCTAAATCGCCGGGGTTTAGTGCCTGTCTAGTACCTCATAATTGGCCAAGGCCTAGGATCTAGCTATATGCATACTGACTTATCACAAGGTACAAATGCATGAACGGTGAAATACAAAATTCTGCATTTCATCAGTGGCAGACTTGTACCGCAACAAAAAATAAAATTTATCCTACTGTGTTAGACCAGCAAAATTTTTACTATTACTACTCTGCGTGAATTAATTTAATATGAGGCATGATATCCCCCACAAAAGTGGTTCTTGAAGAAGCATATAATCTTGCAGCATCCACAGCTATTTAGATTAAGGGTACGAATACAACATGATAATTCTTATCTTTCTTATTTACTTTTCTCCTGATCCAATCTTCCTTCAAAAAATAATCATTCTTCCTTCAGTTTTCTTTCGCTTAACCTTACATCAGATTCAGACTATCTCAGACAGACAGGGAAGGCCACACATTCAAGTGATTCACATAATGAAAGGCCGAAAGAGAAATATTGTCCAACCTGACAATAATCCAAAAAGGTTAAACGGAAAAAGTAGCACATATCCACTAACCTGACGGAAGCCTGCTGCTTAAAAGTGCGATGAAACAACAACCACAGAACCCAATAGGCTAGCATATCATTTGCATGCTGAGAAGCTAGCTGATGCAAAATCTGCTCAGAGATTCTTTCCACTGCATAGGGATCTCTAATTGTCTCCATCATTCTCAACCAGAAAAAAGAATCTGGGTTTGACTCAAGCAATTCCTCAGTAACTGAATCATTACTTAGCAAGCAACTCTGTACATGACTTAGAACTCGGGGGGTTACTTCCCTTGATAACAGATCTACAAGAAAAGAGAATCAATCAGAAAACAACCTTACTGACGTTGGACAGCTAGTCCAGACACAGCTGCAGTCCACAACACTAATGGCAACATCACAACACAAAATGGCTGAAATTCCGTCATGATGTTGCTTTAAACTTGCTATTTATCCATACAGAAAATGAATTTTCCCAGGGAATCAAGACACTATAAGAAGCAAACACAATTCATTTCACAAGGGTAAAAGGCTAACACAAATCATACAGACACATATGAACTTGTCCCAGTGCCTGAATTTTTCTAGTTACCAGCAGAGCCACGGCGACAGATGCGAGTAAACAATTCCCCACCAAATATCAGAGTACCACTGTTGTCCTTTTCTCCAATCTCCATTCTATTTTGCAGAACCATATCTCTTTCTTCTGCCAGGGAGAGCAGTTGGATGATAATCTGCCTGAAGAACAAGCTGAATATTTTTGGTGAAGAAAAAACGTGGAAGAATGAACCAAGGAACTAAGAACATTATCATCCGCAAAGAATGAGACATCAAGATATGTTGATAAATTCAAAAAGAACAGCAAAATCATGCACACATAGAGAATGCCACTATCCAAACCAAGACTTAAAAATTGGGATACTGAGATGACAATGAAGTCAGAGAGTTCATTCTTGCTTTGTCAGGAATAGATGCAACAATCTGAGCCACCCTAGAGACATCTGCCTTGAATTGTTCATACGTAAAAGCTGCTGATTTATGAGAACCACCAAACTCTCTTGCCATTTGAAGCACTCCTTTATGTTCAATCAAGCACAGTACAAGCAACCTATCATAGATGTCAAAAAAAAAAAAAAATTTTACTGACGTTTCATCATTTCAGATTGTAAACAGTATGTGAAACAAAGTATGGTTATGAAAACATCGTTAGGACTAAAAGATGTCAATGTTGCAATCATCAAATTCAAGGAAATCAAACCTAAAGAAAGGAAGGAAGGAACAATTGCCAGTCACTCTGCCATGGGTATTCAAATATATGCATTGGATTCCTATCTGATAATACCTAATATATTATAAGCAATTGCCTGATGTAGAAAAGAGAGAGAACAGCAAGTGATTTACACATTCTGCATTGAAATTTCTAGATGGCCCAAGGCATTGTCATCACAGGTCAGCTTGAATGCATAAAGGTGCAGGATATGAATTCATTTCCACATGGTTGTCAGAATAAATGGCTTGTAAAAGAATTCCAAAGGCAGTTAAATATTAACAATCACACCTTTCAGAATTTGAGAGGACAGCATTAATATCTGGACCATCAGTTCCATTATGCTGCAGTGAAAGAGCCAAAATCTGCACAACCTCGGGGATAAGTCCATGAACAAAGAAAACATCGTAAACATGTTTCTTTGCAGAAAAGGGAAAACAGGCCAGCCAGTTGGGGGCAACATCTGTGCAGGCAATTACATCTTATATGAGAAAAACAGGACAAGTAAAATGCTGATAATATTTTGCCAGGGAAAAAAAGAAAAAAAGAAGTAGAAGAATTGGGAGCACATAGCACAGAAATAGATCCTACAAAGAGTCATCAACTAAATTCCCAGCCACACCCCTTCAGACATGCTCTTATATGGATATTATTCAAAACTTTCCAAAGGAAACACCAACAATTAAAACATGCACCACAGGGATGGTTCCCGATGTGCTAATGCGTGATAAAATAAATGACTTTAAAAAGAATTACCAAGTAACAAGAATCGCGCGAATGTTCGAAAAGCAATCCCATGGTAAAATGCCTGCCACCACTCTGCCCGCTCTTCTGCTGAATGAACTTTGACTCCCAAGACCTAAACATGCCAAAAAAAAAAAAAAACTGATGAAAATGTAGATTAAAGGGATCAGTTCAATACAACATTTCAAAACTTTGAACAGATTAATGACAGAAACCTGGTCCCGGTAATTCTCATCAATGCTACCTGTCAAGTTCCAAATACCAAAATATTAGTTGTCTCCAAATCAATATATGAGCAAGTCAATGAGTAGAACAAAAAATTGAATATATTTGGATAAAGTCTTCCTATTCATTTCGGGAGTAATAAAAACTAATAGAAAAAGATGTTGCTTGACACTTTCCATTAACATTTCATTCCAGTTTCATCCTCTTCCATGAAAACATATTCATTATAGGATTAAAATGAGGAATATTGCGGCTAAACGCTGAACAAGAAAAGAAACTGATAAACCCCGCGAGAGAACAAGAAGCAGAAGCACGGGAACACCGAAATAGCGAGAAATTGTGCATAGGACTAACCTGAAATATGAGAAGAGTCAATAGGAAAAAGAAGGGTGGCAATGGAGTTAAGCGTACAAATGACTTGATCAACGTGTTTGGCATTCTTTATAGTTGATATCACTTCGCTAGTTTTGTCAAGGATTGCAGCTTCCAATTCCTCTTCTTTGAACCCACCTCCCCCATCTATCCAAGTTTCCTTTTTCTGCAACAAAATGGACCGTACAACCTTCGTCTGAGTTTAGCAAGCACAGACGACGGAGGACGTAGGAACAGACGGACGAGGTGCCTGGCGCAGGCAGAATGTGAAAAATGGACTGACGGCCTAACGGCCACGAATTCTAGGATTAGGTAAGCCCTCTGCCGACACGACGTCGTTTTATCAGGGTCGCAGCTAGCATAAAAAGGAGAAGGGGAAAAAAAGAACAAAAAGAAACAGAGAGAAACGGGATCGCAGGAGGTCTTTCCAGTAAAGAAACGAACTTTCCGCAAAACAATCGACAGATATCAGAGCATCTACTGTCTTCTGCAACTTCTCCCACATCAACACTGTTGCTTATGGCGGCTGCAGCAGTAGCCGAGCCTAGGAAAGCCCCTCGACCGGGTAAGGGTGGGTTCGAAGCTCATGGCCTTTCTGAAGAGGAAGCCCGGGTTCGAGCCATTGCAGAGATCGTCAACTCTATGGTGGACCTCTCGCGGAAAGGCCAGAACGTCGACTTGAATGCGCTTAAATCCGCAGCATGTCGCAAGTATGGACTTTCACGTGCACCCAAGCTAGTGGAGATGATAGCCGCCCTACCGGAGACGGAAAAGGAGGCGCTGCTGCCGAAGCTTCGAGCCAAACCTGTCCGAACCGCCTCTGGAATAGCCGTCGTGGCGGTCATGTCCAAGCCACACCGTTGCCCTCACATAGCGACTACTGGTAATATTTGCGTGTACTGCCCCGGGGGGCCTGATTCGGATTTTGAGTACAGTACTCAGTCTTACACTGGTTACGAACCAACTAGTATGCGAGCAATTCGAGCTAGGTAGGTTACGAAGCTCTCTATGTGCTTGTTTGTTTTCTTGTCTAAGCATGTTAGTTTGAGTTATGATAATTGAAACTCCTTCACAAGCTGTCTAGATTATGCCTGAGTTGAGCTTTCTGGGGATATTATCAGAATCAGAGTAGTATACTCTATTATTGTTGCAGCATCTAGGGCAATTATATCGTAACCTCAAAATTGAGAGCTCAGCTTAAACGTTCCTCCAGATTATTGTTGAGTTCTCTATCAGTGTATTATACTATAAAATACTGAATTAAAATCTCAACTCCTTCATGAGATGCATTATGCATCATTGAATCACGTACCCTATTATTGGGCCAGATGCTAGATCAACTTTGGTGTTCTTTCATCTCTTTTCTTGGCGCAACTCTGTATCCCTGATCGCTAGAAACTATGATTGGGAATTCTTTTTGTTAGTCTATGATTCACAATGCCGCATATTTCAAATGGTGAAAACTGAAAAGTATAGTTGAGAGTTTGGACTTCCTGCTAGGTGTGAACTATTCTCTTTCTAATGCAGTTTCTTCTTAAAAATTTGGTTGTTCTTTCTGTAATTCTTTTCTCTGGATGCTAATACTCTGGTGACATGATCGGGTACTCTTCACCCTGTGAATACTCATGCTAATCACTTTGAATGTTGTACCTGCTACTCTGGATTTAGGTATAACCCATACGTCCAAGCTAGGAGCAGGATAGATCAACTGAAGCGTTTGGGTCACAGTGTAGATAAGGTTTGGATCTCAATCTTGAAAAATATGTATTTCTTGTAGTTGTTGGGTGCTTAGATATATTTGTTGATGGTATGTGCTTAATAATATAATGATGTGTTTTCCAGGTTGAGTTCATTTTAATGGGTGGTACTTTCATGTCCCTTCCGGCAGACTATCGTGATTACTTTATAAGGAACCTTCATGATGCTTTGTCTGGGCACACTTCTGCAAATGTTGAAGAGGCAGTTGCCTACTCTGAGCATAGTGCAACAAAGTGTATTGGCATGACAATTGAAACGTAAGCTTCCATCATAATATTTAAGATGATTCTGAAAATTTTCGTGTATTGCATATGGCTTTAAACGAATGCCCAGTAGTTGCTTACTTTTTCTCCCTGTTAAAGGAAATAATGCATCCTCTATTTGTGCGTCCACAATATTATCTGCAAAGTTTATCAACCATGATCTTCGCTTTGGCTTAGGGATGGAGGTTCTAGAATGTTTCTACCATTTCCATTGAAGCTTATCAAGAATCATTTTAGTCCAATGTTGTTTGAGTTCAATGTGGTTGTACTGTCTGGACACATTAATTGACTTGGGCATTTCTACATTTATCAGGAGGCCAGATTATTGTCTTGGTCCTCACTTGCGGCAAATGCTTTCTTATGGCTGTACACGATTGGAGATTGGAGTACAAAGCACATATGAGGATGTTGCTCGAGACACTAACAGAGGGCATACTGTAGCAGCTGTCGCAGATTGTTTTTGCTTGGCAAAAGATGCTGGCTTTAAGGTTTGCTATTGAGCCTCTCATTAATTTTTGCGCTGCTGCAGTTTCAGTAGTATACTGACACAGTTTTGTCCTACCCAACGATGCTCTTGTATATTCCATCTGTCAACTCTTTGTAAATCAATAGGAGATCATGCATGTACTTTGCGTTCAATATTTTTATAGACTCCTGTGCTGCCTCATCAATCGTGCCTTTGTCAAAAGAGTACGATCATTAATCAGATGATGCATGGGCGCACTTAGACAACTTTCTATAGTCTCACAATCTTGTTTGCCCCAATTGTAGCCCTTCTGAAGATGGACTTGGATAATATACTAGTTTTGTCTATCTCTTTATCCTAATCTGCCCAGCTTATGCTTTAGGTTGTTGCTCACATGATGCCTGATCTTCCAAATGTTGGTGTTGAGAGGGATTTAGAAAGTTTTCGGGAATTCTTTGAGAGTCCCTTGTTTAGAGCAGATGGACTTAAAATATATCCTACACTTGTAATACGCGGAACTGGACTTTATGAGCTCTGGAAAACTGGCAGGTACTTGTTATTTTTGTTGTACACATTTGCATTTTTTTCGCTTGCTTATCAATTTCTTAGTATTATTTTTTATTAGGAAAATAAACATTTCACTATAACATTTTAGGTATAGGAACTATCCGCCAGAGCAACTGGTGGACATCGTAGCAAGGATCCTTGCCATGGTGCCCCCCTGGACTCGTGTTTATAGAGTTCAGCGGGATATACCCATGCCTCTGGTTACTTCTGGGGTTGAGAAAGGTAATCTAAGGGAGTTAGCTTTGGCTCGGATGGATGACCTAGGATTGAAATGTCGTGATGTTCGGACCCGAGAAGCTGGAATCCAGGTTATTATATAGAACTAGTCTCCTTTGGAAATTTTATACGCTAAAGAGAGCATATGCTTTGAATTCTTTAGGTAAAAATATGCAATTAGTTTGCTGAATATTTGGGATCACCAATAAACATCTTGTGTTTTATAGGACATTCACAACCACATCAAGCCTGAAGAGGTGGAGCTTGTGCGTCGTGATTATACGGCAAATGAAGGTTGGGAAACATTTCTGTCATACGAAGACACTCGACAGGTAGGTTGACCTCTCTTTTCCTGGTCCCTTTGTTTGCGACCATCTTACTCACATGCATACAGTATCTTTCTCTGTTCTTCCCAATATTTTCCCGCTTCTATGATCATCACATTTACTGGTGACATGTAAACATATTATGATTGCTGATATAATTTTCAGAGGATATATGGCTTTTCTGTTGATCTGGATTAATGGTCAATATGTCCTTAGTTCTGAGATGACTAGTGGGATGTTATCCTTCACTTTCTATTACAACAATTATGCATGCCTCTGGTGTGAGTACGTAGTAGATTGAAATTTTCCGTCTAGAGGGACAGGTCTCAACCCGATCTTGTGATCCTGCTGTGAAAAATGAAAATAAAAAGACCCTCTTTGTGCTCCGATTCCATACAGGATATTCTTGTTGGTTTGCTGCGTCTGCGAAAATGTGGTCGGAATACTACTTGCCCAGAACTTACGGGGAAGTGTTCTATTGTTCGTGAACTCCATGTTTATGGAACTGCTGTTCCAGTCCATGGACGGGATGCTGATAAGCTGCAACACCAGGTAGTGCTCTAATGCTATTATAGAGGTTACCTACCATAACGAGATGAAGGGGCAGATAATCTAAACAGATAGGGGTTTAGTGGTTTTAGCCTTAGAATTCATGAAGCGGTTGATTTTTGTTAGTCGGGGAAATAATTCTTCAGCTGCGAATATATTCACGAGAGTAGAAAAGCACCGTACGAATATACAGTAGTTTCCTAACCTTGATGATTACTGCAGGGTTATGGTACACTATTGATGGAGGAGGCAGAACGAATTGCCCGCAGGGAACACAGGTCAACAAAAATAGCTGTAATTTCGGGAGTAGGCACCCGCCATTATTATAGGAAGCTGGGCTATGAGCTTGAAGGGCCTTACATGGTGAAATATCTATCGTCATAATTACTTCCGATGGAATTTTTGTTACGTGCTCAGTGTAGGTACAGTGCTACCATAATACGAACAATGTCGTTGAATATCTTGAGCAGTCACAATTTTGCTAAGATATCCTTCATTCACCTGTCAATTTTTTTCCATTTTCCTTACGAATCATAGTATTTGACTAATTTATGGCTAATCATTATTATTCAAGCACTAAAAAAAAAGGAAAAACCGTCTTAGAGGTATTTTTATTTTTTCAGCAATATTAATTTTTATAACCTTGTCCTTTTAGTATTTTTAGTCTTTATATAAAGATTAACAATATTAATAGAGTAAAATTAAAAATTTAATTAAGAGACAAAATGAAGATACCAAATTGAAAATTAAAAAAATGAAAGTTGAAAAAATGTCTAGGTGACTTCAAATCCCAGAAAAATTATATTAAAATATATCATCAATCATTTGCACAATTTCAAAATAATTAAGAAGAATGTAACCATAGCATATCTTTTTACTGATTCTTTTAGGGCCATGTCACACATGGCCCGGGCATGGCAGTAGCCACATCAGCGAAATCATCTTTCCTAACAAGGGATATCAACCATTTTGATATCAAAGCCAACATTCTACGACACCTAGTCATTTTTCAGAAAGAAAACCGTATATAGACCTTAAAAAGGCACCTAATCATTTTTACATGGCATCATTCTGCTAAAGGTGTTAAAAAAAAAAAAAAACCCCTGATCTACGTTAAATTAGTACTGTTCCAAAACTACAAGGTATGAGACAAATGTTCATTCACTTGCAAAGAGCATAAAAAAAAAAATGAAAAGCAGCATTACAACAACAGAACATATATTACAACTCAGCACAGGAAGAGTGGCTAAACCAACGCCATGTTTGATTTCTTTCAGCTACACTCAACCAGAATTCTCTACAATTCCTCCCCTGCAGGCAGCAAATAGAAACATGTTTGGGTGGACAGTAATAACAAGAATAAACCTATGGCAGTCGATTAAAAATCATAAAGGTCAACTAATTTATGTTTGGTCATGTAACTCAAATGACGTACACCAACGGTTAAAAAGCAAGACCAAAGGACCAATCCTAAAGATCAGAAAGGGTATAAATAAACAACACAGCTGCAACTTAACCCATCAAAAGTTCAGGTTATCTTACTTCCCAACTAATTTGAGTCGCAAGATAACTTGATAAAGTCCTGAGATTCCAAACCCCCCCCCCCCCAACCTTTTCTTTGGCCAATTCCTTGTAAGAACGAAGCCAACTTCCTCATTATTTAGAAGTTAATACAACAGTCCAGCCAATTTTGTCACGCACAAGACCAGAACGGAACCATTTAAAAGGCATGAATAATACCAATCATGATGGTTTTGCTTTTCGGCCCACTTTTGTAATTCGCCGAAGCTCTTGAGTTCTACTCTTCATATCTCTGCAAATTTCCCAGTAGCATTATGAAATATTGTTGAAAAGCCTCAGTTGATTCCACAGCTTTATAGAAAATATTTACCTTTGTACCAAATAAACAAAAAGATAAAACACAGGAAGTAGCACCATGGTCAATGCTCCCGCAGCCAAATAGAAGATACTCCTTTGCTTCTGCAGCGGGAAAAAAGAAAGTACCAGGAGGGATAATTAATATCTTTATCAATACACGATTGCAAGCTATAATAACTTAGCTACAATTAACCTGGAAATTTTCAGGGATTGTTACATGTTGGGATTGAAAGATAAAGGCCATGCTTGAAACTTATAGACCTTCCTAGGATAGAAGTATTGCGTGCATGTTTAAATTTGGAATTTGATAAGAGCTACCCTAAAGAACCAAACAGAAAAAGCAATGTCTATGAGGTTTTTCTCCAAGAAATGCATGAACAGAATGGATAACACCTAACAATGTGGATAATTTATGACAAACCATGAAAGTCCAAAACTACTGCAAATTAGCAGCGACAACTTTCTAAGAATAGACATTGAAATAAGTAAGTGCTTTAGCAATACAATTTAAAAGAAGAGCATTGGATCTTATTATCTTACCCTGCCACCTCTAACGAAGGGTTTCTGTTTCCCTGAGCAGGTGTGAGCATCACAAAATTGGTGCAGAAATAATTCTACCAGTAGATCATGACATCAACATGAGAAGCCCAGTGAAAGAATAAAACATAGTAGCATTTTAACAGTAAATTTAACACAGATAGAACATCCTCAGAAATTATAGGCATACCATGAAGGCGGCTTGCTGAGGGGCCCCCATTCAAGGGAAAACAACTATCTGCAAGGCTCTGTAAATACATTGTGGACACGGATTAGGTTGAAATATTACAATGCCAGAGTTCATGTGTGAAAAAAAACAAAAAGGAAGAAGAAGCATTGAAGAGCAACCTCGCATAGGTGACGATTTCTCCCAGCAGCCGCTGGATTACACTTGGTTTTAGAGGTCTTGGTATAAATCACCGCATCACAATGCAAGGCCCCACATAAATCAGCCAAGCATTTGCCATGACTCTGCGTTTAAATGAAACAACAAAGAAATCAGGCTCAAAAACAACAGAGCTTTCAGCAATTATGATGTGATATCAAGTGTAGCAATGCATTTAAGGAGAGCTCTACGCTTTCCTCCAATAGGCACAGAAAGATTTCAATACTTGTGTATGCAATTTGAATGAGAAGGTGTTGCACAGGAAATGCATAAAAAACTATAACGAGCTTTCCACATACTGACACATATTTGTCAACAGATTCTTTCTCAAGAAAAAGGTGGAGGGGGGAGGGGAATAAATGAGTGGTTTGTAATAAAAAGTCTGGGTTATTGTAACAAAGAGTATATCATCAACCACAATAATAGATGCAAAAAAGAATACTGAAATGACATTTAGATATGACAGGAATGGAGAAAAACAAATAAAAATATGAAAAGTAATGAGTAGAGTACCAAGAATCATTGATAGCTATAAGATAACATCAACAATAGAAGTCTGGTGCAGACGAATCAGAATAGAGCGAGATAATCATAAGTCATGGCATCAGAATCTTTTTGGTTTGAAGGTTTTGGCATTCGTAAATAAACTCAGCCAAAAATTTTTGAAAATGAAAATAAAAGGAAAACTGATGTTACAGAATTGCTAAGATATTAACCATTAACCAGTAGTATCATAGCTCTTGACCAAATTAAAGGCCCGTTTGGAACAGCTTATAAATAGTTTATAAGCTGCTTTTCAATAGTGATATATAAAATACGAGACAAATATGTGAGAGGAGTTTTGTCTCGGCTTACGTGAAACTAGCTTATAGGGGATTTTCACCACTCTGCCAAACGGGGCCTAAATACTCTAGTGCTTAAGGATTTATATCATCCATGGCTAGTAATCACAGGCAATCTTCATCACACTAAACTCATCTAGCTGAATGAAAACATAAAGATGAAAGCTTGCACTGCACATAGTTAATGTATGATTCAAACACGTTAAGCCAGGAATAAGAAATTACGTACTACATTTAGAAGATTGTAGTGTCTGTTATCAAAATGCTGATCAAGAAATTTTTCAGCATAGAAGCTTTTCCTACAATATCCACACCGCCACTCATTTATATCTATGTGAATTTTATGCTCTTCCTGATCCCTGAATATATTATTGTCGGGATGAAGTCTGCACTGTTCTGGGAGCTGATAGTTTTCTCGTTCGACGAATGGCACCAAATACTACAAAACCGACATAAGTGACATAATCATGGAGGTGAAGTTCAAAATGCACTAATTCATGCTGTACTGTATAATAATGATGAAAAAAAATATTCCATACCTCCTCAATTATTTTTGAAGCCGCCCTACTTCTTTCTCTTGAGCAATGTACTTCATGAGCATGCTCTTGTTCATGTTTATTATGTCTACATGATAAAGCATATCAAGCTGGGCGTGAGATTGAATTACGAGGCCACTTACAGTACATGAAGTGGGACTGTGCAAGACAGTGAGATAAAAGCCAAGTTTCCTAATGAGCTAGGAACAAACTTAAATGCATCAGTATCAAAACCGTGTTAAATATGAAAGTTAAGCCATGAAATGTAGTGGTTGCTGAGTAGTAACGATAATTAAGTTGTTGCCCATTCCTATACCTTCCACCAGCAGATTCCTCATAAACCTGGAGCAAATATTTCAAAGACGGAACATAACAATGTCAATGCCGCATGTTTAGGCAATAAACCACACGCTCAAGTGAAAAGGATGCTTATATGTTTTTTTGTAAATCCTAATTAACCCAACTCTATCAAAGACTAACAATGTTGAGCTTGGAACCCATATGTCACCTCTATTGCAAGATTAAATTTCATATAAAATGGTTTGTATAATTCCATAGCAGCAAATATTGACGACAAAATGAACCATACATAGCTATTTTTTGCTGCAAAATTATTATTCAATAAAACTCCAAGTTTTAGTCCATCATAATTGACCAGACGAATACCAACACATCGTATTCGTAAAGGGCGCATAATATTAAGATTACCTGGTTTTCATGTAAGAGAGGCGACGATGAAGAAACGTTGACGATCTCAAAGGAAATCGTAATTAAGGTGATGAAAATGGAAGCAATTGTTGTAGCCGACTTCATCTGTCACGCTCTCTTACGACTTGAACGCCGGTCCCCTCTTCTGCCGGATGGTTTCCTCCGTACCTGGGACGGAGAATGAGTGGATTTTCAGGCCTATACAGTGTCTTGATTTTTTGGATGCTCCAAAATATGCCAACTTTCCGCGCAAGATTTTCCGGTAAATATCGACGGGAATTTGGTGGGGGGAGAAGGGACTTTTTTCCCTTATAATTTGCTGTACTCACAGATAGATATATAAAACCCTGCAATTAATGAGATTCATTTCAAATGCGCGAGTAAAGTGATATACAGGCTTACATGTATATAAACACACCTATACATAAAAAATAATATTTAAGCATAAATAAATTAAATCATTAGATAATAAATTAAATATTAAATATTTTGAATATTATAGCAGCATAAATTCTATGACAAGGTACATGGCTACATGCACCAACAAAAATTCCATCGCAACCTACAAATGAAATTCTTGTAGTCTTTTCCTGAATGTAAAGGAGAGGGAAAAAGCATTGGATGAATGAAAAAATTAAAAAAAAAAAAAAAAGTTAAAGCCCCATAATTTCACAAGCACTTGGTCTTAGAAGACTCTTTACCTCCTTGCAAGTCTTCAAGGATCACATTTTATTATTATTAAATTGTGGATTGGTGCAGAATTTATATAAATATGACACACATACCAAGTCTAATTTCATATCATATATCTGACATGGATATATTCTTTTTTCCCCCCTCGAAATATCATTGCATTATAATATAGTCGTTAGTATATGATGTATATTGAATTGACCAAGATACGTTTAACTGAGAAGTAAGCTCCTTGTTTTTGATCTCATGGTCTGGTTGCCAGGTTGGAGCTTTGTAAACTGGACGCTCCTTGTGAATGGCAAGGCACATTGTTGTTTGAGGAACTTCTTGTAACTAAATAATCTCCAGTGAATGTAAATTGTTTTCAACTTATAACCTTCCACAAGCAAATAACAAGTTGAAGGATTTGTTTGTGCTCACAATGGTTAAAATGCAACTTTGACCAAAACAGCTTAGATCAAAACTGCGTTCTGGTATTATGTTTTTAATACAAGGTAAAAAAAAAAAAGTGATCTTTTTTATGTATTGACCCAACTCCCAAGGCCTTTTTTTTTTTGGGGAAAAAAAAAATATGATAGGTCTGTGAGATCAAAGCGGGGGCGCGGGGTGATTGTTTTGTGTATGTGCCCTTCCTAGAGTCCAACTGCCAGGTGACTACGCTCTTTGGGGAGTGCTGCCGCGCTAACGAAAGCCAAAAATGGGGAAGAAGACGAAGAAGCCTGGGAAAGGCAAGGAGAAAACAGAGAGAAAGACTGCGAAAGCAGAGGAGAAGAGAGCTCGCAGGGAGACTAAGAAGCTTTCCCCAGAGGACGATATCGATGCCATACTGGTAATCCTTGATTTCTTCAGGCTGTCATCACCATAGAAAATGCTGAGCATGTTCATGATGACTAATGGCATTCCATTAAAGTCCCAAGCGATGCCTCGTTACCGGAAGATATTTTGTACATACCGTAACTTGGTTGCGGCTGTGTTCATACTTTTACAACATCGGCTTTCTTGTCTTGAAATTAATCCACGCGAGGGAGAAACGAAGTTCCTCGCCTATTTTTCTACGCATATAGCTAGAAAAAAACTGATCTTTGAAGCTCCCAAGCACTTGTCACTGTTTTGATGAACTGTTGTTGCTGGTCGCGCTGCCTCCCAAAAGCGGCATGACGGCTGATGGTGCTTGATTTGATGTTATGGTCAGATTGACCTGTGATGTAGTTTATTGTGGAACAACTCAATTATGTGATTCTTTTCTATGCAAGTTTTTAAACGATTAAATGTGTCTGTTGACAGTTAAGCATACAAAAGGAGGAAGCCAAAAAAAAGGAAGTTCATGTTGAAGACAATGTTCCTGCACCTTCTCCTCGATCCAACTGTACGGTAATGTTTTGGTCTTGGGTTATCGTTAATTACAAACAGGTTCATTTCAATTGCACAATCTCATCTATCTTGCTGGTGAAAATTTGTCTGATATAAGGTTTTATCAATGCCTCTTTTGCTCACTTATACAGCTCACAGTTAATCCCTTGAAAGAGACAGAGTTGATTCTTTATGGTGGTGAATTTTACAACGGTAACAAGGTCAGATTTTAATGGTGATCAAGACAATCATATATTTGAAGCATTCTGGTTTAAGTGGTTCTGTTTGTATTTTGACGGATACCGTGGGAATTTGTACAGACTTTTGTCTATGGTGATCTTTACCGATGTGATGTGGAGAAGCTGGAATGGAAACTAATTTCAAGTCCTAATAGTCCTCCTCCTCGCAGTGCCCATCAGGCCGTTGCTTGGAAGAATTATCTTTATATTTTTGGTAAGCTTTTGCTTGATGAGTGAATGTCTGCATCACAGTCTCCTTTTTTCCGCAATGGCATATGACTATATGTCACTTCATTTTATTCATTCTTCAGGTGGTGAATTCACATCTCCAAACCAAGAACGATTTCATCATTACAAGGTTGGACTTGCTTAATCTTACTTCCTTGATGTACATAAATGTGGTTCACTTTAGTGGCTTTGACTATTTAGAAAGAGATTAATTAAAGTGCTGCTCACTGTCTTTAGATGCTTATTTTGAATATTAATTTGCATAGGACTTTTGGATGTTGGACCTGAAAACAAATCAATGGGAACAGCTTAATTTGAAAGGGTGCCCTAGTCCACGCTCAGGACATCGAATGGTAGGCTCAGTTTACTTTGAAATGATTAATGTATCAATCAAATGCTAGCTACTAATGAAAAATGTCAGATTTAGAAATCGTGAATCAAACAAAAATTTTGGTGTGCTTAATTTGGAAAATTACCCTTTCCTATGGTTACATTCGTTTTTCCTTTTACCCGCATCATATCATGCTGCTGTGCTGTGACTGTATATATCAATGTTCTTCAGATGATCTCCTTATGCCCTATTTATGTATGTATATTCAAATGATGCTGTGTCCTGTAACCCGCCAAAGCATAGGTTGCTTCTGTCTTCTGTGAGCACATCTCACAGGAAATACATGATGTGTGCTGAGCCACAAACTAATGCATGTGATTACTTATCACAAATGTCATATAAACATTTTTATTTTTGTTGGTTTTGAAATATATCTGTCTTCTTCAGCTCAGGGCAAAAAAAAAAAAAAAAAGAAATATATCTATCTTCTGGTTTGTGATTTCAATATCATATCTGTTTTAGAAATCTTATCTCTGAATGTGACTCCCCCCTGCTGCCATTTATTAATGGCTGTATTGATCTTGTTTTGTCTTCACTATGCATTTCTATTGAAAGAATATTGTTCTTTTACAGGTATTGTACAAGCACAAGATTATTGTTTTTGGTGGCTTCTATGACACTCTTAGAGAAGTGAGGTTGTTAATGCTCTTTATTTGTTTATTTTGAATAAAGTGGGTGCTCATTAATTTTTCAAGATCGTGTTATTATTGAATCCATTGTTTTGCAACCAGTATTTTCAATTGTTTTCTTCATGAAAGAAAAACTTTCCATAGCCCAAAGTCAGTAGTTCTGTGTTTGAAAATTGAGTTTTTATGTTCATTATTTCTCATTATACTTTGGAGCTAAGTTAATCTTCATGAAAGAGAAACTTTCCATATCCCAGAGTTAGCTAAGTCATACATTTGCGTATGTTCCTATAAGAAAATGTTTTTTTTTATTATCAAACATTGAAATTTTAGGCTCTCTGTTCCTTGGTGTTCTTTACTTCTCTGGCTTTGCATGTAGAACTTGAGTTAAGATCTTCGGAATTTTATTAGCATTGAGTATTGGTTTGTATTGATGCACCTAAACTGCGTTATGTCTGCCAGCTGAAGATTAAGAGACCTTTTAATTGACTATGCAGGTACTACAATGATCTATTTGTATTTGACCTTGATCAATTTAAGGTAAAATTCGAATTTTGGCTTACTGTGCAATCAATTCTCTACTATGCTATCATGATTCTGTTTAACTTTGATTCCAGATTGACATTCTGGACAATGCAATAAGTCCCTTGATATTATATACGTTGATATAATTAATACCAACCTGATTTTGTGCTGTAGTGGCAAGAAATAAAACCTACGCCTGGTGCGATGTGGCCAAGTGGGCGGAGTGGTTTTCAATTATTTGTTTACCAAGATGAGGCAAGTAAACTATCACAGTCACTTATTTGGAGCTATTCTATTTTACATTACTTGATTTCATGTATATATGCTTGTGTTTATTAGTGTGGCACATTAGTCCTGCATGAGTTCATCATCATTGTAATTAATCCTTTTGACATTGCAGATCTTTTTGTACGGGGGCTATTCAAAAGAAGTTTCATCTGATAAGAATATCTCTGAGAAAGGGATTGTTCATTCAGACATTTGGTCCCTTGATCCTAAGACTTGGGAATGGAACAAGGTGATAGGTTGGAGTTCAATATTCATTAATTTTTCATTTTCCTCAACTTAGTCACGTCTAAGCTTCTTAATAATGCAGTTCAATATTCATTAATTTTTCATTTTCCTCAACTTAGTCACGTTTAAGCTTCTTAATAATGCAGGGTAAGAGTTTAACTTGCACTTGAAGAAATGAACACAATTTTTGCTGGAAATGTAGTTGAATAGCGGCACCTTCTCCTTTTAGATGATCATCTGTGGAATTGCTTTTTTTAATCTTTTATCCATTTGTCTTTATTCTTATTTCTGTTGTGTGCTTTTGCATGGGGAAACGCACACCTGCTCTGCATGTTTTAGTTTATTTTTGCCCAACTGATTTATTTCATCATCCCTTCTCTCCCTTCTTCATAGGTCAAGAAAAGTGGAATGCCTCCAGGGCCTCGTGCCGGGTTTTCCATGTGTGTTCATAAGAGGAGGGCAGTGCTATTTGGTGGTGTTGTGGATATGGAAGTTGAAGGTTCGTTTTTTGGCATTTATCATTTCCATCATTTTGTAAATTGTTGCTAGCAACTAATAATAGGTGTAACAATGAACTTAATTTTATGTACTATGTTTTTGAGGGGGCCATGGTGATACGTCTGTGCTTGCTGAGTTTCCTGATCACATTTATATTTTGCAGGTGATAAAATGATGAGCTTGTTCTTAAATGAGCTTTATGGCTTCCAATTAGATAATCATCGCTGGTGAGTCCTGTGCTCATATTGTATCAGTAAATATTTTCTGAAGTTGTTTTTTGCCGTTGTGAAATTAATTTCTCTCATGCTTTTGCAGTGTTCTTTTACCCTTTATTACAACTCATTCTTTATCTTTAAATACTTTTGCATCATTATTTTATTCCATATATTGGCTAGAGTTGAAATGTCATCTCGTAGTTAATTCTCTCTTGTTGAGCTTATTATTAATCATTGATTTTATTTGTGTTTAGGTATCCATTGGAGCTAAGAAAGGAGAAGTCAACGAAAGATAAGGTAGACTAAACCACTTGCAGTTTCTCATGAAAGCAACGCTACGTCTTAAAATTCAACCTTTAGAGATTTTGATGTAACAATATATAGCTGATTAATAAAATGGGTTTTCCAGTTAAAAAAGAATGAACGGAAGCCTATAAATGATGTTGATGACAAACGAAATCCTCAATTGGAAGCAAGAGAAGAAAATGAGGATTCAGAATTCCCAGAAGAAGCAAGCAACATGGGAGTCAACATTCATAATTTATCCCAGAATATTAAATCAAATATGACTATTGCTGATAGTGCAACAGCTGAATCTGAAGGGAACCTGCAGGAATTTCGTGTTAGCTTGGACACTCAAAGTTCTTTGCCTGAGGTTGTCATTGTGGATGGACTATTTTATTTCACTGCTTTCTTTTGGCCCTGTTATTGATTTTGATTGATAAATATTGTGCGAATTTTCTAGGTGGTGAAGCCTTGTGGACGTATTAATTCCTGCATGGTTGTTGGGAGAGATACATTATACTTATATGGTGGAACAATGGAGATTAAGGATCGAGAAATCACTCTTGATGACTTGTATACTCTGAATCTCAGCAAACTTGATGAATGGAAGTGCATAAAACCGGTTTGTTGCACTTTCTTAACTAAATTTTACAAACATGCATATATGCAATACTAAATATAATTTTATCGCCAGTAAACAAAGCTAGAAAAGGAAGAGGGAAAAAGTAGAGTGACTAGAAATATACCTAAAACTAGTTATTAGAAATGGAAGTGACCACTATTTTGTTGCTTGTTTACAGGAGACCTCAGTTGTCTCATTAAATATTATTAGAAAGATTATCTGGTAACATTTTTGCTAGCTACTAGACCTATTCAATATGGCTGGTCTGCTATGAGAAATCATGTGGATTAGTGAATTTGGTTTCGTGTAAAATATGCATTGCTTTATTTGTAACAGTCTGACTCAGATTTTCTTCAACCCAGGTATCGGAATCTGAATGGGTGGAGGTTTCAGATGATGATAATGAAGATGATGAAGAAGATGGTGAAGATGAATCTGATGGTGATACCCTAAGTGATGATGATGAGGATGAGGATGAGGATGAGGTGGTGCCCATTCTTACTTTGCAAAACAACTGGGAAATGAAATCTAACTTGATTGTTCACACCTTAAAACTATTGAGGGTGTAGGGTGGGAAGACAAACAGCACAAATGTCTGTTCTTCAGTCGTTTTAAACGCTATTTCTTTTGCAGTCCGCATCTCCCTTATATTTAAGATTGACCTCACCTGTTAGATTGAGTTGTCACCTTCTGGAATCTTGCCTCTTCTTTTTGCCTTTTGTTGCTTCGACTCACTTGAGTTGTTTGCTCTTTCCATGATACTGATTTTGCATTTTTTTAAAAACAACTTGAGACATTCTTTTAAGCAAAAGTTTACTCCAGAAGCATTGAATTCCCACGTACTATTTAAATTATTTCTTAGGCTTTTTTTGTTTTTCCTATGACTCAAATTGCCATACCACAATAATTTTCAAATATATATTAGAGAAAGGCTTTTTCAGCATGTCCTTTATAGCATGAAGCTTCCCGGTGTATTAATTTGACCTTACTTTTTTGGGATATTTGTCTCAGAATGAATCAGTTAAAGTGGGAGATGCTGTTGCTTTGATTAAGGGTGGGGTGAAAAATCTGCGGAGAAAAGAAAGAAGGTCACGAATAGAACAGATCAGAGCAAGCCTTGGTTTGTCAGACTTGCAAAGAACACCAATGGTACATCAGTAGCTAATGCCTATGATTGGATGTTGAAGATAATGAATGTTTTACCTTATGAGTTTCATATATTTTTGTTCATGTGAGCTCTTTCACTTTTGCTAATTGTGTCCGGTTGTCTTTTTGCCTGTGGAAATAATGAAATATCTGTAGGCTCCAATCTTGTCTTTGTTTCACCATGCCTGTTTACTGATCATCTTTTGCATATTTGATGTCAAGCCGGGAGAATCCTTGAGGGATTTCTATAGGCGTACAAATTTGTATTGGCAGATGGCTGCTCACGAACATACTCAACACACTGGAAAGGTATGTCTCATTTCATTGTCTGTCTTGGTCATCTTTCTTGTCCATTAGGTTTACTTTAAAAGTTTGACCAGCTTTCCTGTACTTTATTCCAGTTGACATGAATTATCTTTTGTGTAGAATCTGTATTATATCAGTAGTTGTGTCAAATTTTGCAGATGCATGAGAATTGAAGTACCACCTTCAGGATGAAAATAAGGCTTCAATTGATTCTAATTTATCTTCCACCTATTGGCTTGGGTCCTTGTTCTTGTCAGTGTTAAAAAAAAATCTTTAATTTATCCTAATTTTGCTTACGAATGGTTTTTATGATGTTTCTAGATAAATTATTTCTTCACTTTTTGGGCTGCATGCATTCTCTGTTCAATATGTTAAATCTATGTCTCTCAAAGTTAGCTGAACCTTCCCCCTGTGTAATTTATGGTGCCTGGTAACATTGCTGAACAACACCACTCCCTGTGTTGTTTCAGGTTGGGTTTCAAATTTTGAAAGAATTTTGTTTTTTCAAAGTTCAAGATGTTCTTATTAAAAAAGAAAAAAGTGATTATTGGGTTAGTTTACAAGTACTTGGCAGAGCACACCCATTTGTATGTTGCATGTTCACTCTCAGACTCTGATATGACCCTATTGGTCATATTCAAGTTACACCGTGAGTGTCCTGTTTGAGAACATATTAATATGATTTTCATCACTGATGAATGTCTTCACCTTTGTGGCAAAATTCTGGCCTTGGGTCATAGGAACTCCGCAAGGATGGGTTTGATCTTGCTGAAGCTCGGTACAGGGAGCTAAAACCTATTCTTGACGAGGTAATATTGTTTTGCTGATTATGGGGCTCTCAGTTCTGCCTAGGATTCAAATTTTAATCTAAAAGCCGTTGCTTTTGTTGGTTGGCATCATTGCCATTGTCTTTCACTTGTTCAATTTTTTTCTTTGGATACTGCAGCTGGCCCTATTAGAAGCTGAGCAGAAAGCTGAAGAGGATGAAGGGCCTGAAACTAGTTCAAAGAAAAGAGGCAAGAAGAAAACTAGAAACTGATTATTTAGCCCGAAAATCCGGCATAATCAAGGCTGTAATTTAATATGCAATTTTGGTGGAGTTTGATGTCAAGAGATGCAGAGTGCGCGCTAGAAACTACAAACATATATGCATATGATTGTATGAGATTATAGATTAGCTCGCAATCAAACCTGACTTCTGCGCGTTTGGTTTCATGGTTTTCAATATGAAGCCTAACAAGCTCAGATTTGTTGTATGAATTGTGTAATAGTTTCACCCAAGGCTTTTCTGCCGCTTTTCTTTTTTCAAAGAGTTTTATGGGAAGTCACATTGCACGGGAGAGAAGTCCGTGGCCTTGCAATTAATCCTTATATACGTGATTTTCTTTCTTTCTTTCTTTCTTTTAATTGGGAGGGGGTTGCGGTTTGATGTGTAGATTGAAAACCAGGTGTGTTTTCCATGTGTTGCACAAGAGCTTATAAATTAAGAATTATTATATTGTAATTGCAGCTAAGTGAAAAATTCTCACCTAATTGCAATTGAGATCTTTTTAAAATGAACCCCAACTATTTGGCAATTAATTTAGGTATTATATATGCATAAAATAGCCCTTTCAAAGCAGCCAAAGAGTAGAAAATGATGTTGCTATGCAATAAAAAATCAAAGTGTTAAAATGCAACTTTCGTGTTATTTTGGGTCCCACTAATACAATAGGTTAATAATATGTTAAACTTGCAGCAAATCAGTTGGTTCTACTTGATAATTTAAAACTTGATTATACATTAGCTTACAATTCTTCATCTTTCTCAATTATTATATTTAAACATATGTTTATGCCTTTGTGAATTTATTGTTTGTGTGATTTCTATGCAAGTTTGTGTACTGGATGTGCTTGAAGTGAATAGTCACTGGTTCATTCTGAAAAAGCATTTTATTATTGAATTCCTTAAAATCCAAATGCATTTTTGTTTATCATTTTATTAAGGAAAAAAAAAGTATTTAAGATTTTTTTATTTGCATTGTTTCAAAGTAGTTTTAGTAAAAAAAAGTAAAATCAATTTCAAAACTCATTTAATATTTTTAGTACTTAGTTTAATTTATGATTTCAAATAAAAAGGTTTCGTGAGAAAAACTATCCGAATTGTGTTATTATATTGCATTTCTATTCAGTTTTATTTTGATTTGATTTAATCGCGAGACAACTAACAAGTTTTAAAACATTACATCACGACTAGGGTGCTGAGTACATAAGAATACAGTTTCCTACACGAATTGAACGGTAGCATCATTAGTCAATTGGCTGGCTGAAGAGGTAATATCTTATTACACTGCAGTATTTTGGATTTAAAAAAAAAAAATCATATTGAAAGTATTTATATTTTCTCTCAATTTTGAATTTGGTACTTATATATTTTTTCTTAATTAAATCATTTAATTTTAATTTTTTTAACAACATTAGCTCTTGTAACTTTGTTCTATTAATATTCTTAGTCTATAGTAAAATTAAAGATTTAACTAAGAGAAGAAATATATAGGTATCAAATTGACAATTGAAAAAAAAATATAAGTAGCTCTCCAAAATGGTTTTCCCTCAAAAAAAAAAAAAATTAACAGTTCTTGTTTATGATGATGAATTACTGTATCTGTACTGGCCTTTTGCGGGTAGTTGAACGGTTTCATGTGTTCAACATAACTCACGAATTTATTAGGAAGCTAATAAATTTGGTTTGATGGTGAGTTTTATGAGAAAAAACTGAGATAATTTGTTATGCATATGTCAAGTTGCATTAGGCCAATGCTGGTAAAAAAAAAAAGTTGCATTAGGCCAAGAAAATGAGGTCGAATGTTAAAAACAATGAAGCAAGACATACGAAAAGATACGCTGATAAAGTAAAAACGTACAAAAAGACACAGTGTGTGGAGGCGAATAGCCCAAAAGTCTAAACCTTGATTTTTAGTAGACCTAAGAAAACAATAACGAAAGAAACAGAGACGTCTTGTAAAGCTGAGTCAGATTGGAATGAGGACGAGAAAGAAACATAGGGATAATAAAAACATAGGGAGGCGTAGAGGGTGGGAAAAGAAAGGAGAAAATACCAGTGAAGCAGGTGAGTCTTAGCTTCAACCTAAACCCGCCTCTCACCTAATGGATGGCTTTGATCACTACCATTAAATAATTAATCATAACAACTCGGCACCATACGGCAAGGAAAGCGGTCAAACGATTGATTATGCAGGCCTAGAAAGTCAAAAGAATCAAACTTCAAAAAAGGGAAATACTTGTTCTCTCTGAATATGATAAATGAGTGTTGGATGGGGGTTGAGTTTTCAAAACAAAGGCTGTTCCTTGGGCCACTGATCGTCGTCAACCTTCCATTCTTAACCCGTTCCTGGTCAGCCTCCGAAAATTATAGCGGTCTTTTGTGTATTCGGCTTTCTTATTTATTCTGTAGCTTCCTCTCTCTGTGATCATCTCTGGTTCCTGTTTGATTACAAGGAGTATATTTCACTGTTATTGCCAAAATGTTGGAATACTACCAACTACTTGATGCAAGGCCCTCTTTTGAAGATTCTCTCAAGGCACTTGAGGCTGACATTCAACATGCCAATATGCTGTGAGCTCTCTTTCTAATCTTACTTCTATTTTGATCATGGCCGGGTTTCCGGGTTTGTTGCAGAATTGATATTTCAAGAAGTATCCATTTGATTTTCTGTCAAGTTTTGCTTATTATAAATTTACACCATTTCTGGTTTTAGATAGGTCACGTCTTTAAAGCTATAAACAGGAATTAACCAAATAGTGTTGTTCAGTTTTCTGTCTACCCTTTTCTTTCCTCTGGTATTTTTGTCCACTCCTTCCTTTCATATAAAAAAGATGAAGGTAAATTCGTTCTTTTTCAATGAATAAGTACGATGCATTTGATTATACATGACTCTCTGTCACTGTTCTACGGTATGACCTCAATTGACTGAATGTTATACTGATATATGTTGGCGAACACGTGTCATTGCTGGAAAACGAAGTCTTTTGGTTTACTGTTATCGCATATCTTGCTTGTTCCGCTTAAACTGGACTAGACGCGGGGTATGAAGGCAATATTGGAAGTGGAGAAGGAGAATATATAAAATGCTATATATAACCCACATGTCATTTGCAGTATCGCCATAGTCACTCCTGTTTTGAAGATAAAAAATAGACTGCTCTCCGCTCTTTGTTTATTATTATTTTTTTTTTGGGGGGGGGTTGTTAACAATGAGGTTGCAGACTCAGAGCCTGCTTCGTTCCAGCACAAACGTTGACATTTCGTTTTGAGTTTTGTTAAGTTGGTTTATTTGCATATTGATTATACTCATAATTTAAATGGGAGTGTGAATGAACATCCATTTTAGAGGCAGACTTTGTTTTGCCTGACATATTAAAGGGTTTGAATTTGAAAATGTGCAGGGCTGCGTCTATTCCCAGGAGCAAAGGCAGGGCTAGTCTTCAAATGAAGTTAGTTTGCAATCAGTTAGCACCAATCTTGCTGTATTTACTTCGATGGATAGACTGCTCCTGTTCTTGTCTACTTTCGAGCTATTTAAATCTTTTCCACATAATTGTGTATAAGGTCTGGGTCCTGCTCTTATTACTGGTTTACGCAGAACCATTGTATTTTTTTACTCAAACTTTGGTAACTTGTTGACCTGTTATTTGTTTAGGTGTATTCAAATGGGAAGCCAAAAATCTCTTCACATGGAAGGAAAGCAAGCATAAGGGAATTCTACGGTATATTTTTCAATCATGGTGCATTATGATACTGTATAGAAGGCTATTTGGAACAACATTGGTTAACTACCAAGCAGTTGCATCTATGACTGCAGGTGTAATATTGCCTTCTCTTCAGCGCCTTCATGGTGATTTAGTAGATGCCGATATTACCCAAGGAAAAGGTCAAAATTTACAGACGGTTGTTAATAGGAGTATTGAAGATAAGAGGACTATTTGTGATGTGGACATTGAAAGAGAAAACGAGTGTGGCATCTGCTTAGAGCATTGTACCAAAGTGGTTTTGCCAAACTGCTGCCATGCCATGTGTATAAATTGCTACCACGACTGGTAAATATGACCGCTTTTTTTCCTTCCACTGGAATTAGTCACTGCTATCAAGAGAATAGAACCACAAAACTATTCTTGGAAATTAACATACCCTTTCATCTTTCACATGACAGGAACACAAGATCGGAATCTTGTCCATTTTGTCGAGGAAGCTTGAAGAGGATTAAGTCAGGTGATTTGTGGGTTCTGACGTGCCCTAAGGACATGATTGATGTGCAAACTGTTATTAGAGAAGATATGCTTCGTCTCTCTCTCTTCATAAACAACCTCCCTAAGGATATCCCTGATGCTCTCTTCTTAATGTATAATGAGTACTTATTTTAATTGAAGAATAAACACAGGTAGAATAAACTGCCTGCCATGTACAGAAAAAGTATGCTTTCTGCTTTCTTTGATTATTTCTTGCAACTACAGAGTGATTGCGTTTCAGAAAGCAAAATTGGTGATATCAGATTGGCAGCTTCTCTTTGCACAGGTTGTAGGATGCATTTCTTTTCCCGTCTTCATGATTCCCCAGTCCTGCCTACCGCAACTGATCTTGTTCTGCCTCGGTTAATTAAGATTTGACAGCAAAACTGTAGCAGTACTTTAACTGACCTGTGCTTAATGCTTTGGAGTTAAACAAGTAATTTGTTTAAGATTTTTAGATAAATTATTTTAGATGCCAAATTCTTCAATAGCAAATGTGATTTACGTTCTGAGATGTTAAAAATCATGGTCTTATTTATATATTTATTAAAGAATTCAATGACGAAAACTTAAAATCTATACCGAAGTTTTGTCCTTTCCAATTTATTAGAACATAACAATGCCAAAGTACGAGATCTAATCAATTGAGGATCGATTCCAGTTTTAAGATAACCAAAAAGGGAATACAAACATCATGATGGGGTAAACCATTCACCCGTGCCTCTGTTTCATGTCCAGCATAGAACTAAATGGGGGTTGACTATAGTTTCCTCGGAGGAACATATTAGAAACAGCCTTATACATGGCTTCAGTCAAGTGAACACCATCCCAATTAACATATTGAGAAGGGCTTGAACAGACTGTGCTATTAGGCGTCCCACAAGTGGCGAAAACACTGAAGTTGTAGGGTCCTTGTCCAGCTCCACAGCACACCGTGAACCTCTCTGCGAATCCAAATTTGGCAGGATTCTGCATTACTGCTCGGTAGGCATTATAGTAATCTGCATACGCTATCATGGCATGAGGGTACTGGTTCCTGAATTGTTGCAACTTGTCTTGCAGTACGAGGTTGTGAGCGTAGCTTTTCTCGTTGATACTTCTCACGCATCCGATGTCGTCCTTTTCATCTTCTGGTTTCAGATATAAGGACAATGGCAGACACCCTGTTAGTGGCAAACCTTGCACGACAAGGTATTTGGCACCCCTCTGTAGCAATACCTGCAAAACCCCAATGAAGATAACTTTATGAAACAATTCCTCAAGATACATGAAGCATAAAATAACCGTTCAACAAACCAAAGCTAAAGAATTACCTGTAAAGCATTGGAGACGCTGGAAATAGAGAGCTTTCTGATGGTATCTGGGGATACTGTAGATCCAAGTGTGTAGGCATAATCATTGACTCCAATCTCTCCAAACCAAAACAAAGTATCATCAAAATCTTCTTTACACTCTGATGCAACTCCCTTACATCCTTGGCTATCAAGGTATCTGTTGAACCATAGAACCTGGGTTTGGATGGACTGAGGAGTTATGTCGAGTGTAAGGTTGTTCCTGACAAAGAACTCATGGTTTATTGCAGTAGAACCACCAACAGCAAAGTTTACTCCAAAAGCATCATTCTTTTTGGAGTGCAGGTAAGGAGGCAAATAAGGTAATGAAAGTGCTTCAGCCACAAAGTCTATCACAAGCCTCCCATCAGAGTATCTATTGGTGGAATGGTTAAAGAAGGAGCTTCCATATGGAGAGCTTGATACATGGCCAAACCCACTCGGGCCGCTGGCACTCTTGGTGTTGCCTGTGTCAGTGAAGGAGTCACCAAAAGCGTAAATCTTCTTGAAGGTTCGTGTTTGCCCCTTCACAGAAACTGCAGAACTTGACAGCAATGAGAAGATGGCTATAAGGATGATTTTAGAAGCAAAAGAAGAAGCCATCTCTGAATGCCTCACAAGAGACCTTCAACCGCCGAGGCCTTTATATAAAATATTGTTTTCTTAATTAGGGAAGTTAGTCTCTCCAAACTTTATTAGGGCTCTGGATCACCTTACATCAATGATAATAATATGTTAAATATTCTCTTTTGACAAGCATTTCGAAAATATGAATAATTCCTTTATGATGAAGTAGGTGGAAGACGGGAAGGAGAGCGTTATGAATTATGAAAAATTATTGAATTCATTGTAACAGATCAAATTAATAATAATTGAGCCACATATCACCATATCAGGATTCTATTTTTTTTTTTTTTAAGTAGTTAGGTGGTTTCAAAATATTTAATGAAGGGACTTAAAGAAGCCTGCATTTATATACACAGGGAAGGAAATTGTATGAATTAGTTGAGGCCTTCAATAAGTGTGGCCCTACACCCACCGTTTTTTGAGGTGATTTACTGATGCTGTCAAATGTGAGAAGATGCAGACGGTGTGTTTTGGTGGTGAGAGTAAATGGGGAAGCATATTTTGCTGCGGTAGTGTGAATGTCATTAATGGAAGCCAACTACCACAAACCCGCATATTCATCTAGACTGGCAAATGCACCATCCCCTGTTTTGATTATCTTCTTTTCTACTCCTTCTAGAATCCTCTGCTTTGGCTATCAAGTCTGCCACTTGGAAGTGTAAATGGCCACAACTGTATATACTTGGCTGAGATGTTTATGATGTCTCTTGGATAATAAAAAAATGTTGTGTCTTTTAAATAAGAGGTTGAGACTCGTTTTTGGGGGAAAAAAAAATGAATTTTAGTTTTCAACGGTTCAGCTATCATTTTCCATAAGAGTTAGTCATCAATTTTATGTATATACATGAACTATGTTTGAGTCTAATGCATGAAGTTTGGGAGATGAATTTTATTATTTACAATTTAAAAATGATACTACTTGCTAGAGTTTTTGTAATATCAAAATAAAAAAAGAGAGTTTTGGTGCTTACAATCACAAATTGGAAAATAATAATTCTTTGCGTCCAACTTTTATACATTAGTATTGACATTGATTCAAATTCAGTGACCTAATGAGCAGAGCAAACTACCAATTCCTGGAATGTGACTAGTGAGGAGGCTTGTTGGCAAACAAAGGGTAAAGTATGCTGTCTTTAAAAGCAGGGGAGGAGGTAGTTTAATTTATTTTTTCCCATTAAAATTTGAATGCCTTAGAAAAGGAGTTAATTTAAATTTTAGTCTTTTAAGTTTGTTTTTATTTTAGTTTTAGTCTATTAAATTTCAAGAAAAAAATAATTTTGAGGTTAATTATTAATAAAAATATAAATTTTATAACAAAATTATTATTTACATGATGTGAATCATAAGCATCTACCCCACTTACTTAGAAAATAAAATAAACTAAAAGGAAAAAATATTTACGGGTAGAATATATTTAAAAAAATTATTGTGATGTGGACGTTTTAATAAAATTCTAACAAGTTACCATTCTGGTCCTTTTTAATTGTTATTTATGGTAGTTTCTCACATGCTAAAAAAATTATTAAATACATAAAATCTTTTACTTTTATCCTTATTAAATAGTTAGTATATTTTTTTTTTTACTTATTCCCTCTTATTCCATCGTTCTTCACCTTTACATTTGTCTCCCTTAATTAATAGAAATAGAATTAAAAATAAAGTATTAAATTCCTTCGAATGACAATTAAAAATAACCAGTGTTAACTGTTACATCCCAGACTTGTTTTTGGAATGCTACGCCAGCTTTTATTTTCCACAACTTTAATAAAATTAAAACTTAATTCTACTCTGTTTCTTTTGTTGTTTGCCCTAATAAAGAACTAATTTTATAGTAGTTTCTAAAAATAAGTTTTGAATGTAACAGGAAAGAACTAACAAAAATGGGATGCCCGAAAACAGAGGCACTCGAAGGCTGAAAATGACGTCCGCAGGTCATCAGATTCAGGACCATAGTCGCGGGAAAGAGAAACGGTTCAAGCAGACACGTGTCACTCGAGGGTTGGTCCAAATTTGGTTACTCCAATTTTGCTTGTTGGCTTCATGCTTCATAGTTCCTACACGGGCCTCTTTCTCCCTCACACGGGCGTAAAGCTCGTGACCATCGATACCAGCATTTACAAGCTTTTACGATCCATTCTAGCTCTTCCATGGCTTCGGTAACGCTGCTTTCTTTTCTTCTCATTTGACTTTACCTCCCTTTCAAAATGAAGGTTTTATATATACACGCAAGTGCTTCGATAATTTTAAATCTGTTTGCTGTTGCGAAATGATCATTCTGGCATTGGTTTTCGGCATTCATGATCCGGATAGATTCCGTACGAGTTTATTGGTCTTTCTTGATCACTGGAATTTAGATCCTAGCCTAGACTAGTATTTCTGATAATGACAATACTGCCAGCCTTGCTCTTGCCTCATCAACCCTCGCATTAATATTAACTTTAAAATTGATTTCGCTCAGTTTCCAAACCTTGAGGATCAAAGATTGAACAACCATCTCATTGAGAGTATCTCTAGCAGCAATTTTATTTTGGAACCTGTAATTGATTCCTGATTTGTTATTTTCGCATTATGACATATTTAGGATTCCTCTTAATTGACTACATGTCCCGATTTCAAGAGCAACTAAACTATGAAGAAAAACAGGATGAATAATAGGTTTAAATTTAATCTGGGATTGTGTGGAAACCGTGCAAATGATTTGTATGTATCAATTTCTGAGGCCATAACACTTTTAGTGTGATGATCCCGCTGACATAGCTCAAAAACAGTTGTGCCCTGTCATTTAGGAGCTAAGAAGCTGGTCCAAAAAATTTAGGAGCTAAGAACAATCAATCATTGGCAAAATGTTGCTTTTTATCTCTTAATGCAATGCACAGAGGCGGGCCTTTAAAATTAATTTCACTACATGAAGTTGTAAGACATGAAACGCATATCTTCAGAATAAAGATCCTGCACTAACTGTTCCAGTCTTTGTTCCAAAAGCAAGATGTAGGTCGGCCACTGCCTAAATTTGGCGAATGGGATGTGAATAACCCTGCCTCAGCCGAAGGATATACAGTCATATTTAAGAGAGCTAGAGATGAGAAGAAGACAGGCTATGCAAACATGGCAACTCCGCGGAAATCTGAACCTATGTACAGGCATGAGAGTTATCCCCGTTATCCTCGAAAGGTAAGCTTAAAATGTCCATGAAGTGTTCTTTTTCATTTTTTAGTTCTTGCTTCTTAGTGTTTGAATTTAGGTTTGGTGCTTAAAATGATAAGATCCCTCTGAGCTTTATTTGATTTCTGAAATCTGAATGCAGAGTAAGTGGTTTTGCTGTGGTTAGAGCCTTAGAGTACATAACGTATAATCAAAAAGATTGTATAAGTTTTATTCTTCGAAGTACACTTGTGTGGATCGTGCCCTTGCAAATCTGGCGGAGTGAAGAATGATCTGCGGTCAATTTTTTTTTTTTCTCCAATTTGATTTTTTCTTTGTGACTATCTTTTCATCTTCTCTGTGCTTTGAAGTTATATGCCAATTTTAACAATACAAGGAAACAACGCAGATGACCAACTGAGAAGATAGATTTGAGTGTCTGCTGCTGATAGAAGACCAATACATATGGTTGTGCATATGCTTCGCAATACTTTTATTGATCAATCTTTTTTATAGTGTTTCTCTTCAAGGCTTTTTGTGTTTACGCTCGATGATCAAAATTAAACCAGTTGCGAAACCCCCGTGAAACCCGAATGACAAATTTGACTAAATATAAATATAAGAAAAAATGATCGTATGAAAAATCAATATGAAAAGTTTGGAAAGCAATTTCTCTATCACATGCCACTCCTTTGGAGTAATTTGAATAGTATGCGTTTAATTTTTCATTAAAAAAAAAAGAAATTACAAAGGGTACAAAAACTGGTAGTTTTCATTTAGTAAATTTGGTTTCTTGATTTCATTTTCTAAAATACAAATTAATATAGAAACATTGCAGATGATCTTCTCACCAAATTGTGTCCTGACCAACCAACATAATCCCTTTCTATTAATGCTGGATTTTGAATGATCAAACTAGATTATTTTTCCATGCATTATAAATATTAACCTACATAAACATTTAATAGGATTATCGATCTGAACAAAATTTTAGTCGATAAATTTAAAATTTATTTTCAAATAGTCAAAAGAAGAGTAGAGGGAAGAGATGGAATGATAATCATGATGATAAAATAGAAGTAAGAAATTCAATACAAACGCATTGTTTATTGAAATCCGACGAAATGTGTAAAGAAATGGGGAAAAAAAGGAAAAGAAAATTGTATAGAATTTGAGAAAAGTTTTATTATTCACGTTTTCCGGATAAGCGATTTCCTAAAGAATTTGTATATTATATTGATACTAATTTACTAGTCACAAGTCAATAACTTTTTTAATTATTTAAATGTTTCTCTGTACTTTAAATGTTAACAAAATAAATACGATATATCCATGCATCGTGTGGAGTAAACATGTTATAAAAGACTTTCGTTTACACACAATTTTATAAGTATATAGATATAGGCAGAGAGAATAGTACCTGAATATCTAAGCTATATCGGCTATTTGCACTAAAATCTCTATGCAGAAATAAGGTCGCCCCCGTGGGGCAATACCAAATAAGACAATACTCGGTTCGAACAGTTTGCATATTGACAGTGACTGGCGGATTGATCCAGCTGTTTTTTATTCTGATCAGCATTACACCATTGGAATAAAACCCATCGCATTTCACACCAGCCGAACTTGTAGTCCAGAACATCTTTTTTTTTTTTAACATATACATATTAATCATGTAGCCAACCCCATCTAGTGGGATAAGGCTTGTTGTTGTTGTTGTGTATCTCTCAAGGGCAGAGGCTTGGACATATAAGCGATGATGTTACTTCTAATAAATAGTTATTTATATAATATCCCGCTATTCTCTGCAAAGCTTGTGCTGCATTGTGCAGAAATGGGAAAAGTAACAAATTTATCAAGTTTAAGAAGAAAAAT